TTCGCCCACTTCAGCTCCCTTACAACTCAACTGCGGAGAATCGAAACGGTAGTGCCTGTAGCGGCGAGGCTTACCTCCGACTGATCAGTAAGGCGTATCGAGGCTGCCTTGTTGTTAGTAACAGCGAGGCAGAAGACGGACCAGGCCTGTAGCGGCGAGGCTTATCTGCCGACTGCCGACGACGTCTCGATTCTCCGCAGTTGAGTTGTAAGGGAGCTGAAGTGGGCGAAGCGATCCCTAGTGTTGAATAGAGCCGAAGGTTATTTGTTTGGTCCGTCGAGAATCTCCCACCTCGACGACGTTACGTGAGGCTTACACACGGTCAGATTACGTGACTACTGAGGCCAAGAAATCTTCCTCTGTAGACTTATATTTGAATCACCTTTTCCCATTTTGCAGAAACCTCAACCTAAGAGGGGTAACAACTTAGACTGATTATCAACGTTCTTCTTGCTAAATGCCATTACCCCACTTCATCAATGGAACTTATGTTTTGAGTACTAAGCTTTCACAAGCGGTCAAGAGAGTAGGAGCTACAAAGGAATGTGAACCTACCATCTACTTGCCTGGGAGAATGAGAAAAGTCTCATTTTGCGACATACTCATTTTCCCAGGCTTCTGTGTTTTTTTGAGCAAGAACTTTGACTAGTGGTCTGTTCCTATAGGCCTTCTCATTCTCTGGTTAGATATAATCCTCATTTATGACGTATTCTCCTGTAGGCTCTTTAAATTTTCTGTGAAGATGTGGTAATCAATTTCAGCAATGGCATTGAGCAAGAACGTTGATAATTCGAAGTTCTTACCCTTCTTAGATTAAGGTTCTTGCAAAATGGGAAAAGGTGGTTTAACTCACTTGTTTTTTTTAAGTTGACGCTCATCTGTGATATCAGGCATCTTTTACAGAAGCGATGCAACTGTTTAATATTGGAGGTGCTCTCATTAAAAAGTCATTGAACGTTCTTCGGTTAATCGTTCGAGTCATTTCACAGCTTTCACTCCTTTAGAAATTAAGGATTCCGGTGACCGGAAAGGGACCTTCACTCAATGACTGCTCTTCAATGGGACAGCTCTATTTGTTGAGGTCATTTTACGCCGTATGGCTCATCATTAAGGCTATTCCACAGTTTTCACAAAGGAGAATGGATAAGGATTGAAGCGTTCGTCAATCCCGCCTGAGTGATGCGCCATCGCATTCGACCTCCATTCAAAATATTAGTGACGTGTTTAATGCGTGTTTGGTCTATACAATGCCTAAACAATACAAATGTTCCCACACCTCAAAAAATGAAATGGCCTGCGGCGACCAGCCGATGCAGAAGTCAGTGCTTTTATCCTCTCTGACGAGTCTGGCACCAATTGAGCGACCCCGAGGGAGGGAAGGTTTGGCTGAACCATGCATATGTGGAGTTCACCACTTGCCACTACACCTCATCCGCCATACAGTTTTACAAAGTAGTTTGAATTATGAAGCACGAGTGCCCTTACACGTCTCAAAGTTATAAGAATCTCGTAAACCGGAAAAGGATTCCCACTCAATTGACATCGAATTGGGGAAGTCATTGTGTATTCCTTTTCGGAATCCAGAAATAACCAGTTTTTTCAAAAGAATCACCAATAGGAAATGGAAAGAAAACATATACAAAGAAATGGAAAGGTGTGATAACTTGTGAGGAGGCTTCCTTATCTGGACCGCAAATAAATATTTTACGTTCTCCTTGGTTCGATGAACTTCAACAGCAATGATCAAGTCAACTTAAAATCGAGTTGAAATCAAGAAGAATCTGCATAAAGATGCCCAGATTCGTAACGAGCAAAACTACCTGAAGTTTTTTTACGCATAAATTTTAGGTNCTATTTGGGGATTTCTTATCACTCAGAAAACTGAGCCGAATTTCTCCCTTCTTCAAAAACTTCTAGAAATATGTTGAATTTGTTCATTATTCATTGCATTTGAAATGTGCGTGGAGAGCTTGATTAGGCGCGATCGAACAATTCTCACATGTTCCCACATTTCAAAAATGACTGCCGAGTTGAATGTTTATTCTTTACCAATAAGACAGTCTTCACGAGCAATTACAATTGTATCCAGACAGGGTTCGAAGTTCTCATCAATTTTTTGACAGGAGAAAAGCCGAGGGAACAACGAATGTCTTACTTTTCTTGTACACGCTTCGACACAATTTTTACTGACAAAAGGTTTTCAGCGTGAAAGGAACGGTCAGATCTCAGAGTAGACGTATATTTCTCTGAGTAGCGAGGAAGGTGAGAAGGGTCAGATCGATTCTCGTAGCCATTTTCCTCTAATGCATTAGGCTGGAATCTGTGTCATCACAGCGATATCGCTTTTTATTTGTCGAGAAAAGTATAAAAATTGCCTAGACGTCTACATGAGNACGGTTTGAAAACACTTTCGTACTCCTCATAAATGGGAAAAGATCAAGACTAGTGATGTGGAAATGTTCGCAATTTCATCATTATTTCCAATTGGCCTACGAATTTTACGACTCGCCACACAATGGGTCCAAGGGTACAGAGAATTATGGAGAGGGGAGTTGCGTTGTAAAACACACCACTGTTGCTGTTCTTATAAATCGTTTAAAAAATGCCCACATTGGAGTTTCCCAAGATACTCGGCGTTCCGCCATCCATGAGTAGTCAAAGCATCTTGGAGCTATAATTGGTACAGGAGACGGTTATATCAGATGACTGTGCGTTCATTTTATTGATGCGATGCTTAGTAAATAGTTCATAAAAACTCACCACGTATCAATATGTACTTCTGTTTTTGCAGAACAATTATTTTGTTACCATATTTATGACAATTGCAGTGATTTGCCTAAAGGATTAGAGAATGTTGTTGATCTCTTTGGCCAACACATATCCAAAATTTGATTGATCTAGAAAACTTTAGGAAAGAGGCAAAATAGCTCCCTTTTTGTCGCAGGACTCTCTTGCCAACCTATGTTTGTGAATTTCTGTCTGACGGAAACTCACAACTCCTGTTTCCGTGGGCCTATAGTAGAACGCTCAAATTCTTAAGGGATTCATACGGCAGCAACGAAACACCGATGGCAGTCCAGATACAGGAGTACGCGGGTCGGCCAACTTCAACATCACAACTTTTGGCTTTAATCATTCCCGCATTTTTACGCTCATTGGGAATAGCAGTGTGAGCTCTGAATGTGTTCTGAAAGCATATGGATTCACGCTTATTGTGGCTCTGGAGCCATATGTCGCCATTCCTCCTTCGCCCCTCAAAGAAAAAGTAGCCGGGTAGGACCTCAAATTTCGGCTCCTATCAGAACAATAACTGAACAAAGATTTGATAAATACCCAATGCAAGATGCAAACAAGAATTTAATGGCATGTGATGCTTTGAGTCTCGTTTCTCCAGCCCTTTTCAAACAATGACAACAATGAATACTATGCTAACTCGTTTATTGAAAAAAACCAAAAACTCGCAAAAAGCACTGTTTCAATTGCAGAAGAAGTCAGCATGTAAAGGAACTGTCATCATGCGAATATTCGAAACATGTCAGCGGATAGGCTAAGATGCAAAGTGTCAAACTTAAACCATAAGGCATATGGATATTTGAGTAATGCACTTGTTTGTGACATAGAAAAATCGATAGCTCAAAATAATGTCAATACAAAATCTGGCTGCCTCATAACTACCTTTTATTATACAATATATCAAGAACCACGAATTGGGCGAATTCGAGCTAGCTCATCGTAAATGAAGCACATCCCTCTACGAAGAGCCTTGAAATTATGTAGCTTGTCGGGCAACACATCAAATTAGAACGTGTCTGATACGCAGGTGACCAACTTTGATCCGTCGTATGTTGTTTTGAATTGTTCTGGTATAGGGAGTTCTACCTGAATGCGTATGGTTACCAGAACACCTCACAATGTACCTTCAAAGTCAGAGAAAGTGAAATAGCCATGAGGAATATCATAAGAGCAGCTCTTTTACATCCAGAATACTTGGCATAAACGAACACATGAGGAAAGGTTTGACAACTGCCATCAGGCGGATGATATTTGAATGAGCGCCTCATGGAAGCATTCAGGCATTAGAAGAACGCCTTTCACAAAGAAGGAAAAGAATTGAAGATGAGTAACCAAAGTGTATGAAGTAGGTTCTGCAAATCCGAGGAAAGAGGAACTGTACGTTCTTCTTCCTACAACGACTATTAAAAAGGTAAGGTTTTCAAATCCCCAAGAAACTCTGAACAGGGGACTAGGTGTATCGAGAGTTTGGAATGCTAAGATATAGAAATTGAAACTGCTAATGAGTCTACTAAAAAAGCTGTGAGCGCTCAAAGTTCGCTTGCTCAAAGCTTGGGGTGATAGTGCCGAATGGAATGAGCAGTTGCCCGCACCGGTGTCGAGGGTCGCTGTGGCCCAGTGGCAGCCTTTTCAGGCGAACGGTGAGGTTTGCCCTAGTAGTCGTGTCAGTCTTTGCAAAATGGGCTTCCTTTCCCGTAAAACCTTTGATGAGATTTTCTGATATAATATATTGAAGACATCTAACATTTCTTATATTTGTTCCACTTCCTTTCGGCTTTCGTTAACGACCGTTGTTTCTAATTAAGGCAGTATGTTTCTGCCCGTGAAACTCATGAGTGAGTATTTCATGAGTATTTCAAGGGAGGCGCTTGGTTTTTCAGTATTACACCCTGACTTGGACTAAAAGTATGATGAGAAGTTTGAAAAACGACGGGCGCAAAACACTAGGTATGCTTGCCTAATTACACTGTCTCGTGTGATTTATAAGCCCGCACTACTTACCACTGCGCACATCGTTGTTACAATGAACAATAGCTCTGTTACTACTATTTACTATCTGTTACTTTATATGCTCAAGCAGCCATTTATAATTCGATAAATATAAAAAATCCTCAGCAGAAATTCCAGCTCATCCCACAGCACCTTCAATACCTTGACCACAGCATACAATAAAGACTTCTCGCTGAAGTCGTTGATACACTATATGGAACAAAAGCTTTCCAATAGCAGTGAAGAAACCTACGTAATCGCCATTTCCTTTGGGTATGAGCACATTCATCTCGCTGGACTTGCTGGTCACAATCTCAGCATTTTTCGAAGCTTCACTAAGATACACTTGACATCCATCTGTTTTCTGTATAGAAATTGTTGGCATTTCCGCTAATGTCTAAAACAACGTCCGATTTGGCACGGTGTACAAGAAACAACGAGAACATTATGTCATTATACCTGTATCTCTATGCGCTGGCAATTGATAGTTTCACACTGGCCAACCACACCATCAAATACGACCGAGGTCTTGCGACAGCTATCAAGTGTTATTGAGTTTGCCTTCCCTTTTACCTTAAATCGATGATTGATCTGAAGTTTTCAACCTCCAAAAGCTACAATAAGAAACTCCACTTGTCTACTTTTGGACTGAAAGAAAGGTCTGGGTGAAGAAAAAATAACACATGAAGGTTGCCGTTAAGGATAGCTTAGCTGGAGGTCCATCAACTGCGTAAGCTTCATCGAAATGTCAAAACTAGGCGAGCTGAGCTTGATTGAAGCTTCAAGGAAAGACGGCGTAACACGTACTTACAGAATCTCAGAAAAATATGAAAAGCTTTGTCCATTGATGGCGTTAGCTTCTTAAGTGCCAGTTTACAGTTTAGTTTATAGCCGTAGCGGTTTGGCATTAAAGAGACTCCTCCAGAAATAGGTTGAAGCGGAATTTCATCAATAGATGACAACAATCGACCTCCCATCTTGATGAATGCACTCGTTTGTAGAGATGTTCCTATATCTTTTCGTCGCTTTCTTAACAAACTAATAACACCATGAGTTGCCAATAGAAAGCACGTAGATCAACAAAATGCTCTTTGGTGAATGCCTACATTCGTTCGTGTTCCTACCCGTTTACAAAGACAATTACGAAATAGGAGGAAGTCTTGAAAACATTCTCCCACTCCCCCTGCTACTGCCACCAGCGTAGATAGGCACCAGTGAACTTGAAAGAAAATTTCTCTGCAAGAATCATTTATCTATATCCATTCACAAGCCATTATTGAAGGAGAAAGTGTAAGGAGCTAGGATCATACCCTTCTCATCGGCTTAGGTTGTGCTGGTGGTTCAGTGGTTTTCTTGTAACTCCGATGGTAACGGAGTAAAAAATACAAGTAATGTAATAAGTGCGGACGTTACCGCAATGAAAGAGTAGAATAATGGGAAATAATACTTTATCTTATAACACAACCTACGTCTTGCCCTGGACGTTGTTTGAGGTAGAAGTGGGGACCACGCTTTTTGGTGGTCCCGCTTGACCCCGTATCATTTAGGGGCGTGGGCTAAGTTAGGGAGAGTCGTCTCAGACAGTGAGACGACGAGATAGTTGTTGGGATCGTCGTCGTAGACGACGATATAGGTACTCGTAGTGCGAATCATCTGTGTACTCTGAGATCTGAACATTTCTACCACGCCAAATGCCTTTTGTTCGAGAAAAGTGTGTCGACTCGTGTGCCGCGTGCGAGTTTTCCTTTTCTCGCAGAACTTATCGTCAGAAAGCTTAAGAAGCTTCTGGAACCTATCTAGCTACAATTGCATTTGCTCGAGGCAGACCGCCAACCGAAATAGCAGACACATACACTTCGGCAACCATTTTTGTCACACTTCTGCTATTTTCGCGACGATTCATTTCCTGAACATTGTGTTCAGAAAAGAGGTCATGAGCAAATCGAGGGAACCGACGCGATACAATAGGCTGTCGTGCGAGAGATGTCAAAACGACGGGATTTTGGAAAAGGACTCACCAAACACGCGCAAAGTTGAAACGACTGTTGGTTGAGAGCAAGGCTTCACCACTCTAGGTCGTAAATGAATTGAGAGCAGCAAAGCAGATACATATTTTAGCTCATATCAAAAAAAGAATAGAATGTGCAGATTGATAGAAAAATTCCAAACGAGGGCATTGCGCTTTTCCGGAAAGTTGTTACCATTTTATGAAGTACCCTGTATATCATATTCATGGCCAAGTTTACCCCAAATTGGTCCTGCTAGCTCAGAGGAAGGTCAGCCGCCACGTTACGGCCAGGTGTACATTCTTGATAAATCTATGGCGGCTGATGAAAGGGCGGAAAATTCAACGAACGCAAATGATAACCACGCTTTGATCCGGTCTCCCAGCACGTTTTCCCATGAAATCAGTGATTCCGCGCACGCATACAGAATGCTAAACGATGTTGTTCTTAAAGAGGAGGATCGAGCTGCAAGGGAACGAAGTTCGGCGATACCGGTAAAAATGATATATCAGGGTTCGAGTTCAGATTCACGCAGCTACAATGAGCCAACAGCAAATGAAGTTGCCATTGTGCGTGTTGGAGAGAAGGAAAATGTACTGAGCTGGTCACGATCGTGCCATCCGCCTGCGATCAGAAGGCTTGCACAATATCGACGCCAATTGTGAATCCGCTCTCCGACCCCATTTAACTTCCCCGTGGGGAGCTTGGTTTGCACCATAACAAGCTGTAGAACCATCAGAACGCCATAAAAAAGGGATAACCCGGAAAAAATACCATGTCAACATGATAGCTGAGAGGGTAAGATTCAATCCTCTTCACTTTGCAGGCAAGCTCTTCCGACAGTTTTTGGAGGAAAGTTATGTGAAAATTAAGCAGAATTGTTTGAACTATGATCGGACTCACTAAAAGGAGCATCGAGTGGACCCATATCGTGGTTTTGCTGTGTGGTAGGAGATACTTACATTGAAGGCGACCAGGAACGAGGAAGATCACTTCGCTTTCTGGATCTCCTCGAGCCATGGTGCAAAACTACCGAAATGGTGCGGCGATTGTTCCAAAATAAGGGAAACCAGATCTGCTTAGGACTTTTATTTGCAATCCAACGTGGAGAGGAAATGTAGAACAGCCGAGTGCAAGACAATCAGCTGCTGATCAACCCGACATTGTTGCCCGCGGGTTTCACGTCAAACTGCAGGCGCTAAACGTGGTTCTTTCCAAGCGGGACATTTTTGGAACTATGATTACACATCGCTTATCGCTGGACTTCACTACTGGAGGAAAGGCGTTTACTGAGCCGATATAATGATTCCGCTTCAAGTTATCTTTGAGAGTGCCCAATTATCGGAAGCCATAAAACGCGCACGGTGTTATGCGCAGTTCAACTGCTTCTGAAAGATAATGGAAAAACATTCAAACCATTCTTTGGACACGTACCATGGCTCGACTAACGATAACTGTGAAATTAAGCTAATTTTCTAAGCATCACCGCTACCAATGGGCTCGCCGATGCGTCAGGTCTATTGCCCTCTCACACAAACAGGTCTTGGCGATATTATACCGTTGTTTGCCTACAGTTGGTCACAAGACGCTTTCGGGCCGCCCATTACCATTCACATTAGGCCCTATCCTTTTCTGGGAGCTGGTCGAGTACTGCTTTGGGCACCGAAACGGGCAGGCACAACATGATTCCATTCATGCTTTAAAGATTTCTACACCAGTCAAATAGACATGCAGTAATAGAGCGAAAGGCAGCGCAATGTGCTCAACAACCCAACTAGAAAGAGCCGCATTGTTCAAGCACTTCGAATCGAATAGAACTGCGCATCCAAGTTAACATCAATGCTGATGCTTCAAGCGTGGCACGGTAGCATCCTTAGACACGGCGTAGTTGTGCAAAGGTTAGATCAGATCCCCTATTCACTCGGAAAAGATGCAGCCTAATTAGCCTAAATGCTATTACATTCTTTAGTAGAATTCAGTGAGGTCTAAAAAGAGCCTCCGTATGTTACAATGTGGTTAGTTCGTGGTTATGCTACTTGCTGGCATTTGAAATTCGTGATGAAACTCGCCATGGAACTAGTACGAGTAGAATTAAAGACCTTGAAAGGTTCGACTTCGACAAATATAACAAAGGCTCAACCTTCTGATTTTTCTATTTGAATAACGATTGACCCTGACATCAAATTCAATGTGAAGTTCAAATAAAAAAAAGCTAAAACAGTCGAAACTCACCGCAATCATGGAACCCTCACACTTGTAAATATAAACGGTCTGCTTTTTGTCAGAGACGTTGACGACCACGTTCGGATCGTTTACCATAAATTCCTAAATCGAAGTGTAGACATACGCATATGGTGCAAGATACAATATTGAAATATTTGAAAACTGCAAAGATTGAAATGATATAGTCTCGTCTAGCTGCCACATCGAGTACTAGCTTGAGACTCAAAACGCTTGAACACTTGCAGGGTGATCCAAAAGTATTCAAAATTTCGAAAGTGCTATTTTTTGAACGTTCAACTATATACAGAAAGTTAATGAACACGTTGAGGGTGACATACAAAAAAGCAATTGAACTTCCGCTTCACCCGTTTACTAAACAGAAGCCAAACCTATGAATTTTCTACCTCTACGCTCATCATCAGGGTGAGGGAGAAGAGACAACTGCGCAGTGAAAATCTTCGAACGTAAGACAAACAGAGCAACAAACGTTGTGCATACTTATACACAGAAATGCATCAAAATGGGGAAGCACAATTTAAATACAAATAAATTAAACATGAAAATTCATCCTGCACAATCCACATAGACTGTAATATCCAACCCAAAAATTCTAAAAACCGAGGTGTCGAGGTTCCAATGTTCACAGGCAAAGCATAACCGACTCAGTGACTTTTCCCTCCTAAGACTCTCATCAATGCTTACCGAATGTCATCACATTCTGCGACTTACCACCAGCATTACCATCCTGTTGCCTATATCCTGTCCAAATTTAAACCCCATATACATCCAGGAGGAAAGGAGGTGAAAGTTTCGGGTCAAAAAAAAAAACGCAAAACACTTAACGATCTATGTGTAGATGATACTTCAGCGCTGTTTATATATAAGGAGTGGGTCTGAGCGACAATTTGCGAATACTATAGACATAATTTTTGGTTTCCAGTATTCAAACCGAATGAAACTAAAAAGAAGTTATGTAAGTACTTGTCTGAAGTACGAATAAGAGACCTGGACTACCTAATTCTGAACGAAACAAACACCAATACTGAGAATGATGCCCATTTTATCTTGAACAGTAGTCAAAAATTGTACAAAAGTTCTCAGCGGAACTCAGCAAATGGGCGAAATGTTTTGTTCCAAAACAGAAGCCGTGACACACTTGCCAAAAAGCACTGTGATTCTCGACCACGACAGCACAGACTACACTCCTTAAAGATTAGGAAATACTTACCACATTCCACTGTTTTCCGCCTTTCAACTCAAGGCGAGGAGTACGGCTACTCGATACAGTTGCAGTTGTTGAAGGTGGGTGCTCATGAGACACTCGATTACCACTATGTGACACAGGAGGTTCGGGAGTCTAAAAGATGAGTTATCAACGCGGCAAAAACCGAACACAGAAATACACGAATCAACCGTCGCAAGCCTACAGAGGCAGTGAACGCCATTTGTTACATGGCATCATTATTCCATGAAGAATGTTTTGCCTACGCTCAAGATCAGACAGGAAATATTACTATACAGCGTGTTCATGAATATCTACCCTGATAACAACCAATGAAATTTTTCACTGAATACAGTGTAAGGACAGTGTAATATATCGTATATACCCCGTGGATCCTAGGGAGCGAAGATCACGAAATTAACTGTAAAAGTAATCAATCTACTTTTGTATCCGGTCGGCATTTCAAACAAATCGCTGCGAGAACCTGAAGTAGTTTAAAGCTCTTGATCTGCAGTTTACGGCAAAGCACCCCAAGCGCATTACCACAGCCACTGCATCAACTCATAGAACCATGAACACAATATATCCCAAATAGGTAACCAATTTTCTGCCCCACTCAAATGAATGAAAGCGTAAATGAGGTTCATTGACAAGCATAAGGTAAGAAGTGAAACTTGAAATGTGATGATTTCTGGGCTCGCAAGGATTAATAAGTGGCAGGAGCGCGATTGTTGCGTCCAAGCACTTATTTTCAGTTGTTCAGCTTCGAATTCCATGCGCGGATTTACACGCATCCAGTATCTTTTTGGACTGATCACATTTTTTAATCGAGAACACTGCGCATATCATCAAAAAACCGTCCTTTGATCATTCAATCAGGGAGGCTTCCCAAGCGGGGTTGAAAGGCTTCCTCACCTTTAATTGTTAGCTTTTCTTTGTGGAGTATGCCTAAACATCCTCCCCTCTCACTAATATAAATACTATATTTCGTCACAAGATGATCGCTTAAAGGCACAGTTCACGGTAAAAATGGCTTCCAAGTTCTCTCTCTTGGAATACCTTGTAGCAATCATGGGTAACAGGAAGGACGCTGTCGGATTCACAAAAACCAACAGTTAGGGCATAGTGGAAGCCCGTTACCGGACCACCCGGATGCCGCGCTCCTCGAAAGATGTCATGTCGGACGAGTGTCGAGGCAATACAGATTGCAATATTTGCTCCAAGACCCGCACGCAATCAGCTGATCACCGAGTAAAGAGACGACGATTCTCTCCCATTCTTTTATGCTTTGTTATTCTTTTTGCTGCTGCAATCCTTTAATTTTCTGCCCCGATAGGCTGAAAAAAGGTGGACTATTCCTGCTGTTGCAAGTGTTTCTGTTAACTTATGCTTTGAATGAATGAATTCTAAAGGACATTTTTGCTTTCTATAGTCAGCTATTCGCACCACGACTCACATGTAGGCAATGACAGACATAGATTAGCTCGTCCGAACACCCCTCCTTCAATTTCTAGTCTTGTTCTCAATTGGCGCACCGTTGTTCACTGTCCTTAGGTAAGGTTATCAAGACGACATCATTGGCCAAATGTGCCAAGGGGCAATGTATCAACTTCAGAATAACTATCAACCTAGTTTCTTGAAAGAAACATATGTTAGTGAGACGGGCAGGACGCTGAGCATTTTTATCAAAAACATCGAGCTCGTGGAAGATGTGGAAGCCTACTCACGCCATTTTCAGAGGAGCACTGACTGAAATCCATCAGGACAGCGTTTCTGACATTGAATGCCCAAGTTCAGAGAAGATCATTGTTACAAATTGTTATACGAAAACCAAACTGAGCTTCAAATGAGGGGATTTCTGATACAATATAACGAACTATTCATTTCCCTTGTGTGGGCTTTGAGATCGACGCGTAATTCTCATCTTACGGCTGTGAATGGTGTATCATTCGCTGTTGGTGGATCATTTTTTTTCAAGTGGGACTTGGCCATTTTCTAAGCGGGGCTCTAACTTGTAAGCTACAGATCTGATGTTACAAATTATTTTCATATCCTTAGCAATAAGATAGTAGTTTGATAGCTAGATATAAATAGTTGTTCTACAATATTGGACTTGTACGGCATAATGACAAACTGTTCAAAACACCGTAGTTCCGAAAAAACCGCTTCAAACAGCGCAAGTTTCGAACTTCGTAGCAATTTAAGGCAGGTATTAACCTACGAGAACACTCACATGTTTGCGTAGAGCTGGATTTTTATGAGTTTGCATTTCGGCGGTAACCTTTCTCAGCCCTGCAGTAACGGCTTCGCCTCTGTTGATCTCAGCAAATAGTGCATCCCTACCAGCCTTCGCACTCTCGGAGGTTGTGACGTTGTCAGCAGAAAACACTAGGATGTTAAAATGATGAAATTGAACATCAATAACTTGTCAATTTATCTGTGAAATTATTCAAGGAAATAACCAACGGCCAGGAGGAGGTGGAGGTGGGGGAGGAGGTGCAGGGGCTCCAGTTACACCACGACTCATAATTGAGCGATCGTCGTTCGGAGGAGGAGAGCATCCCTCAACACAAGGAAGTTATCGACCAAAAAAAGATTCAGATGAATCTTGGACTCTTCGTTAAAATATCAGTGCTAATCAAGTTGCTCGAATATTTAACTGCAAAGGGCATAATTTAAATCGAAGCGGATCCGTTGCCTAGTCAGATACAACCAATCTCATACTGTTAATTAACCATAGAAAATGATGAAAAAAAAGACAGGCACGACTTTCAAAAAATGTTGGCACAGGAAACTATTTATTAATACTTACAGGTGAGCTGTTCCAAACAAGACCAGTGGTGTGAGTCTGTCGAACGAATAACTGCATAGCTTCCAAGAGACTTCGCCATAAGCGAGCCCACTCTACGTTCTTTTGATCACCTTCCTGCTGAGTAAAATTGATTTGATAAAAATTTCTACATAACTTTCGCTCCTCCAGACTTCTTACAACTTAGGACTCATGTTTGTGATCAATGCAGCTTTATTCGATCTCTTTTCCTACTGCTGCTCAGACTATTAATCTGAAATTCCCATAGCTCCCCCTTCACGCTCTGCTTTTCACCCTTCACTAGCTTATCCTCGGTTTATTGCTTTCCTCACACCATGCAAACATATGTCATTACTTCTATGACTGCATTTTAGTTTTCTTTTTTTCAAAGAGGGTGGATTGCAATACCTTAAACTCTTTCAGAACACGGTTGATGTAGAACATTGAAGAATCAAGCATCTCTTTGACATGTGCAGCGGGAGTTTTTTTCTAAAAACTGTCCACGTTTCTAGAAGCACAGCGACTGATAATATCATCTGAACTTACCACAAGAACCCATCCAACAGCGGGAATGCCCTCCGCGACTGCACATAGCTGATTGAATTGAGGAGCCTGCCGCCGGGAATCCTCAATACATTGACTATGAAGCACAGGTCCGAAAAGCCCTCCACATTTCATAAAAAATGCGACACATAAAAGTTTCTCAAAAGTGACCTTTCAAGAGATAATATCATGAAATCCGCCCAGCGTAAGAAGTTTAGCACCTCACTCTCGCTCAACAAAACAAGGCCTCTACAACTTCACACGAGGAAACCCTCGTCCGCTATTTTTCCTTACTGTTTTGGATTGCTATTCTTTAACGCTTCCGCTACGATAGTCATCTCCAATCATTAATACGTGTTTGACAGAGTCATATATGGCGTTACGTAAAATAGCTCTGCTGACATCACTGTACGAGGGTTCGACGTTAAACTTCAAAATTATATAACTAACCACCCTCCAACAGGAACCCCTCGCTTTTTTTCGCAAAAACGGCCCATCCTCTTTCAATTGGCAATTGACATTTCTTTTTCGCTATTCCCACTATACAAGTCTGAAACCGGCGTGTGAGCTCGATAAGCCTATCTCCTTTGCAGGCATCAAGGTAAACGAAAAGAACTGTTGGAGGATATGTCGCCTATGGTTCATAATCAAANAAATAATGTGGCTGAAGCTGGGACAAATACTTTGAATTCCTCAGAGACTGCTGAAGATCGAGAAGGCTCAGTTAAATTCTTTTGTTTATACCATGTATAATCCTACCTAATATTTTCAAGTATTTCATGGACTGGGTTCCCCTTTCTTCTCGGGGATGGCGTCAGAAGTTCTCTTTTCCAAGCTTTTCTCAGTAGCTCAAAATGCATGAGACTGGCATATGGTATTTACCAGTTGGGCTTCAAAGACAAAAACATGCATTACAGCACAGCCAAAATGGCTCTAAGCAGGATATACAACTTTATTATCTCGGCTTCAGTCCTGAGGGTGAAGGGGGTGCAAGCGCTCTTTTCCGACACTGAGAAAAGCGTAGACGACAGGCAGGCGTTCTCCCTTGTACTCAGAAACAATTAAACAGTTTTCAGAAAATATAGTTTTTATCAAACTACGAGAGGGGAGGGCATGTGAGATTATTACTTCGGGCAAAAAGCTAGGATGGGGTAAGAGATGAGCATTCAATTGGTTCGCCCACTCCGGTGGTCCTTCCTTTCCAGAGCTTAGGTAAAAAAATACAGTTTCTAGCATATTTTCGATAGCAACATTACGAACTCGCCGACTGCCGCTCCTTCTCTGCGCTCCAAGCGCTGTCCCACATTTTTACCGGCATCTGGGCTATTCTGGATTAGAAAGTTTTGCCCTCCGCACCGTCCATTCCGGCGCAAGATTCACCTCAGTTTGTAGAACTCTGCTCGGTTCTTATGCGCTCTTTCCGTCTTGCGTTATGTCCAACCCATACCCAACTTGACCCGACCTCTCCAGGTGCTTCTTCAAGGGTTAACGAACTTCTCCCCAATTTCAGACGGCAAGCGGCAAAGGTCACGCGGCGGCTACCCTATCCTTCCACTCGAAATTCAACCCTCTCCCTTAACAGCGCGCGAATGCGCGCGTCGGGTGTGGCGAGTGCGACGTCGTTTTCGGGGAGAAGATGCCGGGCCCCTTCTCCAAGAAATATCAGTAGTCGTGACAGAAAAAGGACAGAAAGACAGAAGAAAAACAAACAAGCAAAGAAACGCCGGCGCGTTATATCAAGTAAAAATCACAGTATATATGTGTGGGTGTCTGATCGGAAGTTCATGACTCCTGCCGGCGTGGCCCTGCAGCGTTCAAATTTGCTAGGATTAAAGGCGGAATGATGGATGATGGGAACACCTGTGGTGGGTGGCAAGACCGGAATCCGCCCACAAGAGGCGGGTGTACGCTAAGTGAATGTTTGATCGGGAACTCATGACTCGTGTTGGCAGTTTGGGCCTGAGGAATTCAAATCTGCTAGGAATAAAGGAGGCAGCATGGGAATGCTGAAGGGATGTGGCATGACTTGACTCCGCCCACAAGAGGCGGGTTGTACGCCAAAATTACTTATTTTGAACTTGCTGGTGCGTTAAAATTTGAATGAGTGCAGGCGGAATATTTAAAGGTAGAAGGATAAGACGGTTTCTGAGATTTTCCTTCAGGATTACCCAGTGCTCCGAGACAAAAAGGAAGCTGTCGCGCCCAAAAATTCAAGAGCTCGGGTATAATAGGTGCCCCATTACCGGATTGGTCGGATGCCACGCCCATCGACCGATGATGTGTCAGACGAGTCTCCAGGCGATACAGGCTCCAGTATCCGCACCAGGGCCCATACGTTCAGCATGCGATCAGCTGATCGCCGGGTGTTGAGGTGACGTTTTACTCTTATTCTGTTATTCTCTATTACTCTTTTTGGTGCTGCAGTCCTGTATCTACCATACCTGTCGTTATAAGGGCGAAAGACTCCCTGGAGATGGCGCAATAAGGAACCAGAGATTGTATCGCGTTAATGCCACACCCCTAGTGGACGAGTTTCAAGGATTGTAGAGGCTCACAATTCACAAGGTAACCAATGTATGGAGTTCAAACAACTTGTCATGACCCATAGCAACAGTGAAAGGTAATTCTGGACAGTTATGGTTTGACGTAGTCAGCTCTTTGCACGATGGAAGCAAGTTCAATCTAGCCCAAAAACTCCTTACATGCCATTCCTGTCGCGGTGATCTCGTACAACCTCCACTTCCACTAATTTCAAAAAGCCTGAAGTAAGTGGATTCCCTCGCTTTCTTCGCCACCGATGTACTCCTCTACATCAACACTTGCGCTTTCCAACCTAGAAAGGGTACCTTGAAATTATCGTAAACTGTGCCTTTCAGACACCGACAGAGGGGCGTGAAAAGATGAGTGTCTTAGAGTGAAAACACGCGGTCAAGTTAAAATAAGAGGGAATAAACCCAACGCAGGAAGTGTGTCGGTGTGTGTGATTTGCTGGAAATCGACAGCTCTTGTTTCCTTGGAGAGAGATTCTAAAATTGAGATAGTGCAGATGGCGGGTCAACTTTAACACATGAGGGAGAGAGCCAGCGATAGCCGGAATATCCGACTGCTTTTCTTTATAGTTCCACATTAATCCGAAACTTGTGTCTTCCTTGTCTGTTTGGATAGGTTCACGAATGCAGATCACTGCACTGATTCACTTTACCTTACTCTCCCCCTAGAAAGCATTGGAACAGCTTTGTAAAGCCTTCTCTGCTAATTTGTATGGAGCTGCTGTGATTAGCTCCATCGAAACTGCCGTAACAAACGGGTATAGTGCGATTCACGCATGGAGATAATGAGGCCATCGAGACGCGCTATAACATCATTTCTAGCAGGTACATCGACCTACTAATATGAGGCAATAAAAAAAGCAAACGCTCACCTTGAACTTGTTGATTTCCGATATATGATCCACCATAGGAGAAAATAGTTTCTGAACCTCGTCGACTGACGGTTCGACTCGGCCAGCAGCGGTCCACAGGAAAAACCTCAGATAATTCAACACAGCGGTGACCTTCTCTCGCTGCAACACATTCACCTGGAGCACTCCCGTAAAGAGTTATGTATGCTCTGTTAACCAACCATAATCTTGACGTCGCCTCCTATCTGGTCTGATATAGATGACCAGTTTTCGATGGTATCACCCAACGCAACATCATATGCTCTGACATGTGGAGGAGCCTGCGTCGAAGGAGCTGAATAAAAAACTAGGAGTTATTTCGAAAACAAAAATCTCACACAGGAGTTTTATCACCGTAACCTAACGTATGTCCACAGCCACACGAGCGTCATAGCCTCACCCTTCTCTTTCTCTCACGACACACCTAAGAAAAACTCGTCAGCATCGCTAGTTTACTTGTTGTCTTGCTGAGACGGGTGCAGCAGAAGTGACTCTTCGGAATCACGCTCCTACAGCGATCTAGGAGAAGATTTCCCCACCTATGCAGGTCGATCCAACGATGTAGACCCATTTCTGGAAGATATCTGTTCAAGTTCCCTTAAGTTGTTCTGCAAATGCAGGTGTGTACAGAAATATGGATGTGTCGCTTTTGGCGCGATCCTTCGCAGCTACATTGCCATTGGAGCGCGTATACCTCAACGACTACATAGGTTTTATGTCATTTATATCCCCCAGTACAATGAGTTTTCTCAGTCGAGCAATGCATCCGAATCATTAAATATCTCAACTTACAGAGAACCATCGGCCTTATTCAAATTGCTTCGCACTCGAGAGCAGCGAGGCGATTTCGATTAGGTGCAAAGGCTCAAATATCATTGAACTTATCAAGATCCTCATCAATGTAATCAGAAGTAAAACTGTAGATTAAATGAACAGCAGGTGAAAACATATTTAGGGGGGAGGGGGGGAGGGGGGCAGCGCCCTTTTGAATCACTGACGGCTAGAGCGCAGAGAAGAGACAGTAACCGAGCCCGTAATGGGTAATCCGAGAAGATGAGTCTTGTATGAAATAAAACCATCAGATCACTGCGGAATTAATAGATTGGCAGAAAAGCCCTTCGACAAAATGGAAGCCATTTTGAATTCATCTCTAAAATTTCCCGGAACAACCGTTTCCTATCTTTTGAGCAAATTATTCGTGGCTTTCGTCCAGAAGTCAAGAAGCTGTGACATAATGAAATTATTGACTGCCGTTTTCAGACCACGTTAAGTCGCGAACTTTTTCCCCACATAGAAACGCTTGAAAAGGCTGGGCAAGTAATGAAAAGAGACAACGTTCCCAGAGTACAACTGATGAACAAACTGGACAAAGCGGCCCGGTGAAATTTTGGCACGTGTCTAAAGCGAAATTTCGACGTGAGGTTTTGTTCTGTGGAGAAAGGAAATATGGGTTTGGACGTCTTGCTCTCATGCATTGGCCATACACTGAGGTTCATAAAAATGAGGGACAGCTATGGCTATCTAGTCTGTGCTTACAAGGGAAGGATACTTGGTCGCAGTGGCCATTCAAGATGAGATGTATACCCCCGTAGGTGGTTTTGAACGCTGATTTGAAACCTGTGTTTCAAATCTGCGAAACGATTCTGGGAACAAAGTTACGGGACCGATGCCTCCCCTGTGTTATAGCACTGTACCGAAGGGATAACTGAGTTGAGCAAACACAGTACCGTGCTATGCTGGCGCGGCTAGTGCGGTGGACTGGTAGACATGATATCAAGTTTCGATTGCTTGGTGCATGCGATCCTTTTGCTTTTCCAAGAAATGCGTCCTAAACGCTTGCAAAACGTTTTTGGGCTCAATATTGGGCATCTACAGGGCTCCCTCGCAACGAATGAAACGCACAGGAAAAAATGGGACGTACCTTCTACTCCAGAGGTTCAAGCTCTCTGATAGTCAATGAACAAAATAGAGCCCTGCTAAAGTTGAGTGCGCTACAGCAATTTCGCTCTGTTCGAATTGTATTCAAAAAAAAAAAGAAAAAGAATGAGAGCTCTATTTATTACTAATACTAGGTCCTAATGCGGTCTTCAATCTTTTGATGGTTAAGCTACGCGGCCCAATTTTGGGCAACGGATAGGTGAAAAATTCGTAGGGATATCTATGCATGCGTGTGTGGAGAGCTTGCGGGCGCAGTTTGTACTATGCATTCCGACGCAAAAGGCTCGCATTGGAGTGCCTGGAAAGTATTCGGGATCACCTGTGAAAATAAACTTCTCGTTCTTCATGTAATTACTCGACAAGCTCCACGGAATACAAATAAGCACCTGATCAGCTACCGGTTAGTATCACTCACCATGAGGAAACCCAGAATAAGGCAGCGTCGGATATGACCACCTTGAAAGGGCTCAAAAGAATAATATAGCGTTCCGTACTTACAATATACAAACATTAGCATCGTGAGCATCAAGCTGCGAAGAGGAGGTGCTGGATGTGCTTTATAATGGAAAAGTTCTCCGAAGATAACCGTACCCCCTTCAGATTATCGTCGGTGATTTCAACGCGAAGATTGGCCGCAGAAAAACGGCTGAATAGCTCCATTTCGGGAGTAAGATACGTAATAGGTAAAGCAAGATGAAAAAGTGACCGAGTTTATCACCTAGACCCACACCAGCCTTGGTAAAACGCAGTTGCAGCTCTTCCGTTTCCTTAAGACAGTACAGTTCCCTAATGAAATAGATCACATCACGTTATTCGAAGGTTTTGCCTCACTGACGTCGCTATTGTTCCGAGGCTTTACGCGGCAGGGACCATCGCCTACTGCGCCCTAGACTCTGTTTTTCAACGCGTGGAGAGCGAGATAAAGGTAAAGATCTGAAACTGCAAGACCGTCAAAACTTGCGATTACTTTGCTTCCCTTGCGAGTTTATGGGAAGATTCCGTTATCGACAATACCGTTGAAGAATACAAGCGTCTCTCTTCGAAGACCTCCGAGCCGATCGGCCAGCGTAGAATCACGCGAGCTACAGGCAATCGCCAATATACAAGAAACTTGCGAAGCTATTCGGAAAAACGGTAAAGGTAGAGCCGAAAGAGACTGTAGAAGCAGTTCTCATGAAAACCGCCGAGACTGGGAAGAGCAGATTCGCTAACAATGAGACCAACATATCTCTGTTCGTCCGTTCCAACGAACAGTTATGCGTCTTGAAGGGCAATAGAGGTCGTTTCTTCATTGGTGTTCTCTTCAACAAACACGTCAACCTGTCTATCTACCATAACGGACAAGTACTACCAGTCTTGATGGACACACCACTTCTCTTTTTCACAAATCAATAAGTCATATCACGTCGACGAAAAGTTTTTGAAGTTTTTTTTTGAAAAGTACCATTCATTGGGCGCTTTCAGAGGGCAACGACCGATCGACGGTGTTGCTGGTTACGTGATGACAACACTGGACGCCGATGATCACGCGCCCTCCTGACTGGGTGCATTCATACTCGGTGCCGTGGACGCCACCTCGATGCCGACCCTTGCACTAGGGCGCCATACACGGCACCAGTCTACGACATCGCCCATCAATAGGTCGCATTCGATGACTCATGATGCGTGATGACTTTTTGAGATGTTCGTGCTTTTTTCCCTTCGCTCGTTGCAGATTTTGTTATAATTTGTATTTTTTATCACGTCCCGTATCCATGACCGGTCTTCTATGTTAGTAATGTTCGTGTGAGCTTATTATCTTGCCACTTATTTTTTTATCCACCTTATCTCATCATTTTGTTGTGGGATTTGTTTTAATTTTATTTTTCTATTTTTGCAATTCTATTTTTTCCCGCTTTATATCCTAGCTAGTACTGATGTGTTATGCGTGCATTTTTCCATTTTTACTATTCTTACTCCTTATTTCGGAGCTAAAACACGTCAGTACTAGCTACGATATAAAGCAGGAAAAATTGAAATAAAAAACAGAATAGAAAAATTAATAAAATAGAAAAATCAAACAACAAAATGCTGAGATAAGAAGGAAAAAAGAAATAGCAAAATAATAAGCTCACGCGAACATTACCCACACAGAAAACCAATCATCGATAAGGGACGTGATGAGAAAATTGCAACAAAATCTGCAACGAGCGAGAAGAAGAAAGCTTGTTCGTCTCCAAAATTCATACCGCATAATGAGTCACCGAATGCGAGCTATTGATTGGCGAAGTCGAAGACTGGGATCACCTGGGCGCCGGAGACGGCACCTAGTATGAATTCGCCGAACACAATCTGACCAGTGTTGTCGACATGTAGCCAGCAACGCCGTTGTTGGATCGGTCGGTCGTTGCACTCTGAAAGCAGCCATTTGGATTAGACCACATGTATTGGGTACACATGCTCAGCAAGTATTGGGCCCTATTCACTCGTTTTATGTTTTTTACTGCCCTCCCATGCCTTCGTTTATTCGTGTTATAAAATTACGTGGAAAGTACGGCACACTTTGAGGACGCTCCGCCCACAGCAAGTGAGTCTCCATCTAACTTATTGACCAATTACTAAACTTTGCTCACTTTTTTCTGGTGTCTTGGTCCTCCCGGAGCCATAATAAGTGGTTTTGCCCTGAGCACCATCCGTGCATGTGCCGACCCTTGCGGGTGGTTTTTCGCTGCGCTCATATGTTCACTGTTGGTCTTGCCCTAGACTCCACCCATCCCAAACTTGACCCGATCTTTACAGGTACTCTTCAGGTGATACCTAATTATGTGACAGAAAGACGAACAAACAAACACACCGAACTTGTGGTTGTACACACGAACTGCGCACCCGGTATCTCTAACCACATTTTCACGACTTGTTGTTCGCCGCTCATGACCTTTTATAGAGAGGCACATAGCAGGAGATAAGCCACGTAGTCTCCGCTTCCTTAAAGATTTGTACAGATATCATCTGCAATCAGAGTTCTATACCGCTTGTTACTACGAAAATTCTCGCTTTTCTTCACTAGTAGACTACCGAGAGGTTCATTTCCATATTCGCTTGCGCCAATCCATTTTAGCATTGCCTTCTGTGTGATGTATGAGGGAGGGCCTATGGTAAACCCTAGACGGGGTTCCACTGTCATGTAATATGAAGGACGTGAGAAGTTGACTAGAATAATTAACGATGGCGGGCAGAAATGATTCTGTAGCCACGAATAGACGAGCAGATTTATTGAGAGGGAGAGAGACAAGCAGTATTGATAAGGGCCAGTGTCTTCGCTGCCATTCACCCTTTTCCATTGACTCACTACAGGTGT